CTCAGGCAATTAATTTTATGATGGGGTTTGCATCATGACAACAGCCAGTGAGTGCCTAACCAATCAATCCTCCATACCCTGCCTTCCCACTCATGCTAGTTCCAATAACACCCACACACGAACAAGTGTTAATCTTCATTTACTGGGAGGGACTGATTTTTTTTTTCTCCCTTTGAATGTCCTGAAAACTGGCAGAGTCAAAATTCAGAGAACAAAAGAGCATCTAATTTGTTGAAATCTAAAAGGCATCAGGAACATGCATGAATGGAAAAAAAGGGGAACTGCATATGTAGTGAGAGCAAGAGACCACAGAGGACTAGCTTAAGAATATCCCTGGTACACATGAAATATCAAAAAGACTTCTAACTCCAAATCCTGTGTTTGCTCTACTATCCCATAACTGTTTTAGCAGCTTTCTGCTGCTAAAACAAAACTTGAGAATTTCATAAATAGATCTCCAATGTCTTAGTGCTGTTTGAAGCTTGAAATTGCACTAAGACTTTTGGGACACAAAATCCAGAATATACTTGAAGAAAGAATATGGAATACTGATAGTTGGTCAACTATACTGGATCTTTTATGAGTTTGAATTTTATGAGAGATAATTAAATTTGATGTCGAATAATAATAGTTGATATATATCATTGATATATATTAATATATCATATATATGCATGTGTGCATATGTATATGTGTGTATATATATATCATAAATATGTATGTGTGCATATGTATATATGTGTGTATATACATATATATATATATATCAAAGCATTGATACAATGCTTTAAGGTTTACAAAACTGTGTATATTTTCTCATTTGATCCTCAGAGTCACCCTATGGAATGTTATTAGTCTAATCTCCTAGATAAGTAAACTGAAACTATTGGGAAGACTTTATTGGAAAGAAAGGGTTTATGGAGACTATCACATTAGATGAGTCCAGTATAATGATGAATATTAAATATGTGCACTTCCTGTAGAATGAATAAAGTGGAACATTGTCCCTCTTTTAAAATTTCTATTAATTCAACCATATTTTATATCATATAGTCTAATAATTTATTATTTTCTGATGCTAAAGATATTCATATGATGAAAAATATTTAAAGGCTTTTAGTATCCATGAAAGGAAATAGTCTCTTTTAGTTTATTGCTAGGTGTTTTAATTCCAAGGAAATTTTTCATCTTACATTATTAAGACTATTATTAGCTACTCAAAAAAGTTCAGCCTAATTATTTGCACAGGAAACAAGTAGATGAACATCCATTGTCCATATTGGTTGAGATTATAGAAATTTCCCATCAGTATATCTAGATATTGATGTACATATATAAAACTAAATATTATATATGCATGTATGTTTATATTATATATGCACATATATGTGTATATATACATATATACATGTACATATATATATATATATATATATATGGACACAGATCTAGAACGTCTTTGGGGAATTGTGTGATTCTTTCAATGACCCTACGCTTCTCCCAGAAACAAGGGACCATCTCTCTCTCTTCTCTCTCTTTTTTTTTTTTTAACATTAACATTCTGCTAGGGATATTGTATGACTGTGAGTCAATGAAATAACACAACCTCTTAAGACGTAAAATTGAGTTTGTCCAAAAGGAAATGGGGAAGTGCACAATGGGTAGGAATTGGCTGCAACACAACTGAATCAAGGAATCATGCAAAAGAAGTGACTTGAAAGATATCACTAGAGTAATGTATGACCATAAACAACACAGAACAAACATCTAGATTGGTCACATAAGGAATGAAAGGGATTCAGAGCCACCATGTTCCAATAATAGTAAGACTAGAGAAAATTCCCCAGCACATTAGGTGGATCCCCTGTGACAGATTTGTGGGAGAAAACAGCAAGAATCCCAGAGGATGGAATGACAATAGGATGGGATCTATATTATCATAGCAAGTACACATATTGATTAGATCATAGAGCTATCATACAAAGAACTATTTGTTACTCAGGCTTTCTAAAAATGGGATCTCCTCTTCATCAGTTTAATTTGCTCATTTTAGTTGTTTGGCTCATACTTTCCAAGCAATTTGTAAAATTACTTTTTAAAGCATATATCCGCTTGAAGTCTCTGCTTTGTTAAAAAAAAGACTGACCTTTGGGCAGGGTAGGTTGAGAATATGTGGCAGACAGGTTGGGAGTTCCACCACTTGGATTTTGGTTGTTTGGAATTCTATCCTTTATCAAGTATTTGTCACCTAGAGAATTGGACAACGCTCAGGGAAGTACTCCTCCACTGCCCCCACCCAAACTACCAAGATTATTGTTAGCAGAGAAATTTTCTACTTTATACCTTACTTCATCTTCTACCAGACATACACATGCTTACCTTCTTTTTATTTTGATACATGTAGTATGATGTTCCTAGCTGATAAACATGCTAAAGTACTGAGAAAAAATATGGTTAAAAATAAGGGCCTTAGGTCAAATTATTTCTTTAAGATATAGCATGCCATAATGGATAGAGGACTTGACACAGAGTAAGAAAAACTTGGGTTTGAAAACTGCCTAAACACTTACTAGCTATATGATCCATTGACAATGGACTGAATCATGCTGGGCCTCAATTTTCTCATGTGTAAAATAGAGTTAATACCTGTGATATCTACCAAATGAGGCTGTTGAGGGTCTCAAAAGAGGCAAGCTTTTCCAATTAAGGTCCTACACAAATGTCCATTATTTAAATTAGTACAATCCATTGTGAGGCATGTAATGTTGAACGTACAACCAGGAATACTGGGGTTCAGGGCCTATCTTGCCATTTATCAGCTATGTGATAGTGGGCAAGTCATTAAATTAAATTAAAATTAAATCCAATACTTTAGAGAATTCTCTAGGACTTATTTAATGTCATAGGTGAGTTGGGATAATAAAAATAATAATAATAATAATAGTAGTAGTAATACTAATAGCATTTATACAGTGCTTTAAAGGTTTGCAAAGCATTATAGAAATAGTATTTTATCTTCATGACTACCCTGGGAGATAGGCGATATTATTATCTCTATTTTACAGATGAGTAAACTGAGGTAGAGAGGTTAACATAGGTCACATAGCTAGTAAGTGTCTAAGACAGGATACTGACTCAGGTTTTTCTGATTCCAGGTCCAATTTTCTATCCAGTGCACCACCCGAATTGATGGAAAAGTCCCTGTAATGAGAGTATTCCCACACTGATGAAATCATAGTTCCTTCTTATTTCTTCATTTGTTGCCATTGCCAACTTTTGGAAGTTTAGAAAGAACCTTTCAGCCCCCCACCCATGCAATAGAAAGGCAGTTAAAACCGAGGACAATTAGCTTAATACAAGTTGTAACTACTTTATTATATCGACATATTTACAAAATATTACAAACTTTTAAGCACTACTAATGAGATTCACGGGGTGTGACAGCAAAAGCTACATCCAGGCAACACAAAGCACAGGGGAAGCAGTGACTGGTGACTCGAGAGCCTTGAGTTATGTCTTTGGTATTAGAAATGCACATGAATATGCAGCATTTAACTTTTCCAACACAGGGCATTCAGCACAGACAAAGAAGGGTGCAACTGGTATCTTATGAAAAATGGGGTCCCAGCATGGCTTTAATACCCCAGTCTGCTGGGCCAGTTTCCACACCAGCAAAGTGAAAAAAGAAGAACATAGGTTGGTGTTAGGAAGTGGGCCAACTTGCCGAAAGAAGCCCATGCTAAAACCCGGGACGCATTTTGTTGCTCCCTCTACCACAATGCTCTGCTGAGAGTGAAACGAAAGACACACCACTGACCCATGGTGGTGGCTGATGCTACATCAGGCATCACACAACGTGATCTAAGAAAACATCCTGCCAGATAACTTTACTGTACAAATCATTTTACAAAATACACTCTAGTGCTCATGTCCACATTGACAAATACACAAACTGGTACCATCACACAGTCCTTTTTTTTTTAAACACAATCACAGTTTACATAATTCTGAGGTAAACTTCCTGAATCTATCCTATATGAGACACTTCAAATCCACCAGACTCTCCACCCAGATCAATGCATCTCTTTCACTGTGCACAGGGTTTTCCTACATGTAACAATGGGAGAGTACACATCATGATTGCTTCATTTCAGAGGTGATCTCAATTTTCTTTTCTGAATGCTCTCAATTAGATTTAGCTAACGCTAAAATATCTACATTCTGTGCAAGAAGCAAATGCTTTCAAAATGTGCATGATGTAGTCCTCTTTATCCAGATAGGTAGAATCTGGTAACAAGAGGGATATATATATATATGCATGTGTGTGTACATATATGTGTAAATATTCACATACACATACATGTGCACGTTTGTAGATGCACATGTGTCTATACATATATATGCATATGTATACACACACACATATATATAGATAGATAGATAGATAGATAGATAGATAGATACGTATGTATGAACTGATGGTGATATCACAGCACCAGAGAGTAATCATTTCTACTTCCATCATAGAAGAGGTGCAAGCAAACCAATAAGCTGACTGTTCTTTCAGTCAGTTAATATCATTTAGGTGCTACTGTGTGACCAGAAATGGCCCATAAATTGGAAGTCAACTGGGAGAAGCCTTGAGCGCCACAGTGAGCCATCCCAGAAAAATCTTGGGTGGGTCTTTGTCTAGTCTTGAAATTCAGAGACATGAATGGGAATGAAAGCCACAGTTACAGTGCCCTTCTTCTAGAAACTACAATAGAAGGGTTTGTGCTATTGGCACAAACTTTCAGTCTTTTGAATTGGAAGTAACGGAGGAACAATGTAATATATGCCCCAGATTTGGGGGAGGGGAAGAGAGAGGGAGAGAGAGAAAAAAAAAGTTTGTCGGTGGTGTTTGTCAAGAAGTGACATATTGGGGCAGCTAGGTTGCACAGTGGATAGAGCAGCGGCCCTGAAGTCAGGAGGACCTGAGTTCAAATTTAACCTCAGACCAAACACTTGACACTTACTAGCTGTGTGACCCTGGGCAAGTCACTTAACCCCAATTGCCTTTAAAAAAAAAGTGACATATTTATCAATATAGCCCTTGAACTGGCTCATGTAAACACAGACACTGATCATCTGGCTAGCAGCCACCGACAGATGCTGAGCCAAGTTTTCCTCAGAAACTTCAGTCCAAAGTTGCCACAACCACCTTACAAAATAGCAAATAGTTTTCTGGACTTAGTAATAAGGTTCTTTTTTTTTTTTCTAAATTCAGTTTTCAAAAACAACCACTTGCCAAGGCAAGGAGTAAAAAGACATCAGCTCAAACGTCTCAAACTCTACACAGAGCAGAGAGAAAACTTAGAAGTTTTCACTTGTATTTCTGCCAAGAAGATTTGTCAGACAAATGTGTTTGTGATGGCGTAAGTAGCCTCACTTGAAATTTTGAGACAAGTGACACTAAACCTTTCCCATAAGTGGTCTATATGACAGAACTCTCATTTTTCTTTGTGCTATGATAGGTAAAAGACTCTGCTTCTTTGTACCATCGAAGATTTCGATGACGAGGGAAGGGGAGTGTGATGAGCCAGGAAGGGGGAGAAGTAAAGGTGCATTAAACATTTACTAACAACTGGCATTGACAGTGGCCTATGAAAGAAAGTGAAAGGAAATATAAAGAAATGTATTTGCTGAGTTCTTCTGGGAAGAGAAGGTTTTGGCTTTTCACTGGTCCCTGATGATGACAGACTGGCAGGTTGTTTCTTGCCCAGCTCTCGGCAAGTCATTAATCTGTCAGTACAAGCATCTTTAGAAATCCCAACATTAAGACTGGAGAAGACAGGAGGAGGAAGGATGTTGATTAGCCAGAAATGCAGCTTTTCAAATACTTCAATCAGTTCATAATGCTTTGTGGATTTTTGTTCATCGCTTGTTCCTGAAATTTCTGGTCCAGACTGCAAAATTGGGATTGAAGTCATTCATCCTCTTCCACATATGTTGATGGAAACCAGCCCACCTGCAAAGAAAAGCAGCCCAGAATAACAAAGGGACTTTACATTTGGCTCTTCTTACTTGGCATTTCAAAGTTCTCTGCATACATTGTGGTATTACACGGCCATGACACCCTAATTAAGCACTATTTCTATTCCCACTCGATAGTTGAGAAGTTTGGGATGGCTAGAGCTGACTGCCAAATACAGGAAAGGGTAGAAATAAAGGAAAAAGCAGCTAAAGAGTTTTCTTTTCCATAAACATGGAAATCAATATATAAATGAACAAACAATGATATGGTAGCAGCATAGAAAATCATTTCTATTTCCATTACAGAATAGGTCTGAGCAAAGTAACTAGGAAGCTGGTCTTTATGTATTCTTCCCCTTGGGGAACTGTGGTAGAGATTGTCAATGCTCATAAAACCTTCACAAAGGGCAGTGGGGCATAAAGTTTATATTTGCTCTGGACCTGTGAGGCAATGTGATATAATAAATAGAAGGCCAGCCTCCGAGTTATACAGACCTGGGTTCCACTCCTGCCTCTGACATAGAGTACAACCACAAGTGAGTTACTAAATATCTGAGCCCCAGGCAACTCTAAGACAATAAGGGAGTTTCTACACCAGAAGTTCCCATACTGATGAAGTTATAGGACCGGACTAATGTTAAGAGGATAATGAAATGATCCACTTCAAGGTTTGAGGGAATAAAAATTTTGGGAAGGGGACAATGAATCCCACTAAGAAAGAAAACAATAGGCATACTAATAGTATAGTCCAGAATTATTTTCTGTCTCACTACCAAAGAGTGTAGAAGCATAACATCATAGATTTGGAGCTAGGAGGGACCTCAGATCATCTAGGCCAGCGTTTCTTAAACTGTGGGTTGTGACAACATTTGAGTTGGCAAAAAAATTTGGCAACAGCAAAAGGTTTCTGAACTTGCAACAACCAAAAATTAATTAACAAACAAACGCGTGATGAATCCAGTTTGTTTCTGGCAGTGCTTACTCGTGTTGCATCGTGCAACTTCACTGCAGCCCTGGTTTTGAACACAAAGCATGAGCACTTTGCATTGCTCGTGCCCTCAGGCCACACAATGCCAACAGTTGGGCAAGTGGGAAAAGTTTTAGAAGCCCTGAATTCTAGTTCACCCCTCTTCCCTCAATTTACAGATGAAAAATTGAGGCCCAGACAGAATAAGTGATTTGCCTAATAAAAAGCTGAGTAGCGATTAGAATCTGGCTCTAAATACAGTGTTCCTTCCATTATACCTTCTTATGGTCAAAGATTTTTTTCCCCTTCATCTCTTCCTTTATTCTTTTCTCTTTTTTTCTCCATTTCTCTCCCTTCCTATTTTCCTTCCTTCATATCTTCCCTTCTTTCTTCCTTCTCTCTCTCTCTCTCTGTCTCTCCCTCTCCCTCCCTCTCTCTCTCTCTCTCTTTCTTTATCTCATTCAGACTGGAAGTACAGCAACCCTTCATGACCTATAATCCCACTGCTGAACAGCATGGAATCTTTAATCTGCTCTGTTTCTGACCAAGGCCAATCTACCCTTCCTTCGGCAACCTAGCAGCCCCCTCTTGCCAGGGGTCACCATGTCGGCTCCAGATTTAATGCACCTGCCCAACTGGCTTTTGCCCCACTGCAGCTCAGAACTGCTGTGCTCAAGAGATGTATAAGCCTCAGTCTCCGGTGCTTCACCACACTCAGCTACTATGGTGAATTTTAGCTTCATATTTCCCTTCTTATTCTAGCTTCCTGTGTGTGGCAGTTGAAAAAAGGGAGAACTATAAGTAGTAACAGGTATTTTCAGAAGTCACTCAGAGTTAGGTAGCAATAAAATCTCAGTTATCTTTATCAGTAAAAATGGCTGAGTCACCAATGCATGGAGAATTAATTATACCTGACCCTTTGGCAGGGGTGGAGTTGAAGGGTTCAGGGCTATAATAGTTCAGCAACCTGTTGACAGGAATTCTGTTGGGAAAGTCTAATCATAAAACTATTAAATGATTGGACTTGTCCCCTGGACTTATAAGTGCTCTGGACTGTGCACCATTTATTTCTATGACTAGCTAAACCAGGAACACCTTTCCCAAATCCAAACAACTAGAAAGCTAGCAAATTTTACGCTTTACTTTGATCAGAAAGAGACAAATGACAAGAAACATGGCTTGGTCAACAATTTACTCATCAAAATATTATCTGAATTCATTACTGGACCACCATAGATTCATCTCAAACTCTAATTTCTTTTTAATCTACGACTTTCTTTGATCCCTGATAATAAATTTCTAAGCTCCTCAAAGACAGTTACTGTTTTCCTTATCTTTACATCTCTCCAAGTGTCAAGTAGATTGCTTTGTATATAGGAAGTGCTTCATAAATTTTTTTTAAGTGGATGAACAATGAATGAATTATTTTCATAATGAGGGCCTTGATCATTGCAAGACACAGAAGTGCTTTCTGATTCATCTAAGAAATAGTAAATTATGATGAGTAGATTTGATATTAAGCATATATATATAATATATATATATATATTTTTAAAACCATTAAGCAAACACAAGGAAGACTTGGGTTCAAGATAGATCTCTGACACACACTGGCTGTGTGACCTTGGGCAAGTCATTTAACATCTTAGTACTACAGGCATTTCTAAGACTTTAAGTTTCAGAGAAAGTGCCTACCTGCATTGGTACAGAGAGTTTTCTTAAGTGGGAGTTCCTAATCCCAGCAAAATAACAACATAAATCCTTATCCCCATTCCCATTATATAGAGTCAACCAGACTGCATCATTCCCTAGTCATTTTGAATAAATAAGTATATTATTTTTATAAAAGTATTATGACATAAAAATCAAATTCCCATAGTCAGAACAATGAAGCCTATAAGTGAGATAAAGTCAATGGACTCACCCTTCCATTTGCTTCTCCCCTCCACCAGCCATTTACACTCATTTTTGTGTAAATTTTCACCATGTCACCTTTGGACAAAGACAGCTCTCTCATGTCTCTCGCACAAAAGTCATATCGTGCAATAGCTATGCCCAGAACTTTGGGGCTCAACACTGCAGGAAACACAGAAATTCAACATTAGTCAGCCCCTCACAGACCAGTGGTCCTAGTGAAAATAAATATAATTACAATTGAAATGCAAACCAGCCACTACACAGTGTGGGCCTTTCATCAAAAAAAAAACTAGTGATAAGAATACAAAAACTTGGAATCAAGATTAAGATTCCAACGAGCTTCAGGTTTGAGTCCTGGAAAATTAAAATAGTAACATGGAATTACCTTTGTCTGAAAGACCCAAAGTATTCCAGTGCAATGCATTCTAATGTATTACAGCAAAAGATGTTTTCAAAAAAGTACCAATTTTAGGTGGGTTGAGTGTATATACAATATATATATATATGCATGCGTAGAAATAGATATACATGTAAGTATACATACATGTATATGTGTGTATAATTTTTAATGACCTGATTAATTTATTAGGAAATCATTCAAATCTGAAGTCATTTGAGCTTTGATGTCTGCTGAGCGTAAATTAATCCATTTCTAATCAGGAAGCATCCAATGAAAATGGCCAAATAACACCTTTGAACTAACACTAACACCAACTAAATCTCCCCTTTGATGTTTAGAGTCAATGTCATGAACTGCTACTATTTCAACATCATTTGTGCTGCTTCTTCTTTGAAAGCATTTTGGAATATGTTCAGTCTCTGTTCTACCACTAATACGGCTTCTACTAGAAAGTTTTGAAACAGACCTCATGCAGGAAAAAAAAATACACAGGAGACTCCTAAAGGGTTTCTTTATCCCAAATTGATGTTTCAGACAATGAGGTCATCTCATACTACTCATACTACTGAGACATACCAATGGATACATGGAAACAAGACATCATTTCTGACATTCTAGTACATCTAAAGTTATGTTTGAAGTGATGAGGAGGGGAAAGGATGGACCTAAAATCATTCCTTTTCTCAATTTGTCCTTGTTCATAAAAAACAAATCTACTTTCAAGCCACCCAAATCTGCCTATGTATGGAACTTCATAATACATTTCTAGTAATTTCTCTACCTGCTACTTTCTAGCATTATATAAAGGGCCTCCAATTACACTCAGCGATTCTCAGAATTGTTCTCCTGAAGTGGGTGGGATTTTATAACCTCAAATTGGGTTTAAAAAGAATAACAACTCCAGTTTAAGACAAAAAGACAAATGGGAAAAGTCACAGGTCTATATTTTTAAGACTTCCCCTGCCCAGACACTAACAATTATACTTTATGTAACAAGGGAGAAATTCTCCCACATCATTACACTGAAAGAAAATCTGAACTATTTTTCATTTCTGTAGCTATAGAAATTTCTACCATCTCCAGATATGTCTAAAGTGATAAATAAACAGCAATATTGTACCTTTCAGAACTATGAGGAGGTAAATATATATGTCATTTTCTTTTACTGCACCATTTATACATAGCCATAATGGCATTTATGCTGAAATCTGTCACATAGTATTGGTGCACTGCTCTTGGGCCAAGGTAAAATTCTGAAGAAAAATAGTTGCCCATTAGCTCAATGGGTGACCTTTGACAGGTCACTGAACATCTCTGAGATTCAGTTTTGTCACTTGTAAAATGAATGAGCTGACCCAGATGATCTCTAAGGTCCCTTCTCATTTTGTGATTCTCTGGGGTACTATGCTTGACTTAACAAGGGGGAGGGGGTGGAAAACATTTTATCTATATATAAATGTACTTGCCTAGATGTCAACTAAGCTACCATTCAGTATTCTTGTCATACCACAAATCAAAGCTATAACTTGCCTTTCGTCAGTTTATTATCTACAGAAATGATGTACAACATCCACTCTTTCCATGGAACATGGAATAACAACTCAAATGATAGGAGACAAAGATGTTAACTATGATTGAGGCTCTGCATGCATTTTTTTGTGGTTGAACAGAAACATTAAATTTAGAAATCAAAATCATTATCCTAAGATTATTACATTTTCACACTGTCCCCAAACAGATTGACTATGTCTCAACTTCCCAACCTTTATACCTTCAGACCACCTCCCCTCCTAAAACCACCCCCACAACCCAATGATCACATAGATAATAATTAGAAATGTCATACTGGAGAAAATAATATTTTTAAAAAACAGAAGAGTAAAATATCATGACAGATTGTTTATGCCAAAAAGAAGAACATGTATGGTAATAACAAAACTCCAGAGAATGGACATACAAAGATGTATCCTTATGAGTTGCTGTGCATGGAAACCAAAATAGTTTCATTGTAAAACAAAAGCAAATTGAGAAGAAATATAAAAGTGGTAAAGCAGTACCTGACCAGAAAGGAGTGGAAGAAGGGGGGACAAAGCTGTAGTCTGGAGGAGGAGTTACAAAAGAAAACCCACAGAACAAAGAAGGGGCTTAGAGGAAAAAAAGAAAGAAAAAGAGAGAAGCAAAATAACATTTAAGTATTGTCATAATATCTTAATAATGCTATTTTAAATTATCTTCAAAACAAGGAAACACACATTGTCATTTTAGGCCACCTGAAAGCAAGGTGAACCATAGCAAGCTCCTATAGACTGCTGTGATCTCATCGTCTCTTTCCCCATTGACCATTGAAAACTACTACTTTCAAAATACCAACTAGGTCAAATATTTATATTTTCGTTTTGTAGGAAATTAACAGAAGGATTCAAAATTCCCCATCAGTATACACATCCACATCCACATAAGCACACATACATACACCATTTTTTAGATCATTTTTTTAAAGCCCACATCTCTGGGGAAGCTCTACCTGTGATGTGGATTGATTATACCATTCTGATTAACATCAACAAACATGACATTTGTACATGATCCCCTAATACATAGTACTAATAGTCTTTGAGCTTCTGATGCTAGCAGAAAAGAACTCCATTTCACACCAATGAGAAAAAACCAGAATGTGTATATATATATGAAACTTTACTGGAAATGTCTAAAAAGTGAATCAGACAGTAGTTGACTGGCTGGGACAAAGAATAACTATTCCTGAAACCTTCTAGACCTTGGAACTCTATAGGCCTCAGACACCATGAAGTGTTTCTCATGAGGTCTACAGATTTTGCTCATTCTTTAAATCTTCTCTCTTTACATTTGGCTTAATTTGAAATATATCCTTATTAATTAATTCCCAAGAAACAGCAAGATACAATGCAAAAAGTATTAAGTTTGGAGTCAGGTAAGATCTGGGTTTAAATCTTGTCTCAGACACTTGCTAGTAAGGTGATGTCGAGGAAATAATCCCTCTGAAACTCGATCTCCTCAATTTTAACTCCCAGGATTTTTGTGTAATGAAACTATTTTATAAAGTGCTAAAGAAATAGTAGTTATTGTCACAGTAGGCCCCAGACTTCTTTTCTATTTCATATGATCACAAGATAGATTTAAAGCTAGAAGGTAACTTTGAGGTCATCTAGCCCAGTCTCCTCATTTTATAGATGAAATTCAGAGAAGTTAAACAACTTGTCTGGGATCACAGGGCTAGCATCAGGGGTAGGATTTTAATGCAGATCTTCCAACGCCTATGAACAATATTCCATGCTATATTTTCTTCCAATGTGCTATATTATTTATATCTACTTTTTTTTATTTTAGAGCTAGATGGAATAGTGGATAGAGCACTGAATGTGAAATCAGTAACTCCTGAATTCAAATCTAACCTTAGATACTTACTAGCTGTATAACCCTTAGCAAGTCACTAAATCTCTCTGCCTAAGGTTCTTCATATATAAAATGAGGATAATAGTACCTTCCTCTCTTGACAAGACTGTTTTAAGGATAAAATGAGCTCATGTTAGTAAAATAATTTACAAACATTACAGCCTCATATAAATGCTAGTTATTATTATTGTTATTTTTAATCATTATCATCTTTATTATTAAGCCTCCACGAAATTCTCCCTCTGATGCCTCATCATGGTGTATCCATGACACTAGAGTCTCAAAGAATATTCTAGAAGAATGCAAGTGTAGGGAGGGCAATTGGTCTTTGAACAACTGATTTCTGCTCTCAATTAAACTTACGTAGTGGCAGAAAATAATGAAATTGCAGAAAGGTGTTAAACAAACGGTAATGATACTCCATTTTGTGCTGTCCTGTGACCAAGTATGAGCAAGCTCTCTGATAAAATTGGACGGGAAGCTAGGGATTGATTGGCTGACCAAAAACTGGCCATGCCCCACTGGAGGCCCTTAAATAGTTAAGTCTTCCAGTCCTGGAATGAGAAGATATGGTACCTGAGTCCAAGGAAGTTCAGACCAGGATACCAATCCTGCCAAGCCTTCCAAATATAGTAGTGTTAATGTGGAGTCAATGAGTAGGTGTCCAATGATTATATCTCTGGCATCTAATGAGCAGCTTAGCTAATTTCAGAAAGGCCCACCAGCAGTTTCAGTCAAAGGGGTATAGGTTTTTTCAGTGATGGAAGTCTTAGAGGAGTCATGAACTTGTTGGTGGAAAAGAGTACTGTTGTTTAGTAGTTTCAGTCATGTCTGACTTCATGACCCCATGTGAGGATTGCTTGGCAAAGATACTAGAGTGGTTGGCCATTCCTTTTTACTGATGAGGAAACTGAGGCAAACAAGATTAAGTGACTTGCCCAGGATCACACAGCTACTAAGTGTCTAAGGTCAAATTTGAACTCAGGAAGAGGAGTCTTTCTGACTCCAGGCCCAGGCCTCTATGCACTGCACCATCTAGCTACCCTTGGAAAGGAGTACTCACAGTTGGAATAAATCAGCATTCATTAAAATATTTTCATTTACATTAAATTAACAGTAATCTCATTGCTAGAGTGTAAACTCCATAAGACTCATACTAACGTCTTATTAAATCGTTACATCTCCTCCTACTACTTAGAAACTCCTTTGCACATAGTAAGAACTTAATAAATATGCATTGAATTGAATTATTAGAATCATTTTTTGGACAGTGGCACACGCTATTACTACCTTTTTTAAACTATCTATTATCATGGAGTATAAGTAA